GCCGCACAACCGAGAGCAGCGGGTCTGCCTATGCACAGGCGCTCAGGTAGCGCCTGCAACTCGCCATATAGGATACAAGAACACGCACGCGTGCTGTGTGCGACCGCCGGCCTGCTGTTGTGGAGCAGAGCCGACCGTACGGGTAGGTGGTGCGTGTTGTGGTGTGGCGTGGTGTTGGAGGGAGGGGGGTGAGCGTGGCGTGGCGTTTGAGCACACGTTCAGCAAACAACCGCACAAAAAAGGCGGAAACAACCGGAGGGGTATGCGGAGATTAGTCATATCCTGCTAGGCAGCCTGCTCTTACCTAGTTATTCGGCTAAAAACAACTAACCGCGCCGAGCGGATGAGGCAGCTCGTGTAATCATAGCACATTTGTGTTGTAAATGTTGCAAAACGTACCCTCACACCTTCACGCCTTTATCAGTGTAAACGAAACTGTACGAACAAGAAGACGGAGTTTTTCTGTTTCCGTTTACAACGGAAAACTTTGCAAACTTTACAAACTTTGCATGCGTCGTCGCAGCAGTACTTGAGAGCGAGGCAGGCGCAGGCGTGGGCCGCGCTGATATTACCATGGGTCGCACGATTATATTGCCACCACCGTCTCCCAGACGCCACTTTTCGGGGCCGCTTGCTGCACAGCCAGAGCCAGATAATGCAGTTTGTCCGAGCAAACTCGGCGCGAGTAGTTCGGCTGCGGAGCGCGGGGCTAAGTGCGCGCGGGCCGGCACGGCGCGGTCCTCTGGTGGAGCGCCTACAGCAAGATCCCTGGACGGCCTCAGCCCTCAGCCTTCTCCCCCCCCCCCCCCATCCCAAAGTTTGGTGGTTATTTTCCGCGGCTGGTCATCTGACAGACCAGCACGGCTTGGGCTGGGCACGTTATTCCAAAGAGATTCCCGCCCAATCCCTGCCGGACGCAACGCGGTTAAAAGCTGAAATTGCTCGCCGGGCTCCGCCCGCAGACGAAGTGGTGGACAGAAGAATGCATGTCAGGAGAGGGGGGAGGGGGAGGGAGAGAGAGAGAGAGAGAGAGAGAGAGAGAGAGAGAGAGAGAGAGAGGGGAATAGAGGGAGAAGGGGGACTGGAGGGAGAGGAGGAAGGAAGGAAAGGGTAGGGGCAAAGGAGAGCGAGGGAGGCGGTACGCAAGGGACAGGCACGGAAGGGGAGAGGAAGCAAATTAAATTCGGCAGAAATAGGTCAACCAAGACGGGGAGGTAGACGGCGAGGCAAGACAATGGCGGAGTGGCAATCGCACGGCAGTGAGATGCTGAGCGCGGCAGGCAGGTGGCAGGCGGGGCCGGGCTGGGCCGGGCTGGGCAGGACCCGTAAGGGCGCCGTCGGCACAGTATAAAGGAGGGGATAAAGATTATAAACTTTCGCCAAGTCTCGCGCCCTGGAGAGAAGGGAAGGGAGGCCGCCTGGACCGGGCGGCACGTGGCGCCAAGCTCTGCAGGTCGCACTCGCAGAGACCAGGTTGGCGACGATGGGAGAACAGACGAGAACATCGTCCTCGAAAGAAGGGAAGGGGATGTGACAGTCGTCCGCTTTACACCTCGCACGCTCAGTGACAAAATCCTGCGTTTCTTTCCTAGCACAGGGTGAGAGAGGGGACAGAGAAAGAGAGAGACAATGAGAGAGACAGTGAGAATTGAGAGAGAGAGAGAGAGAGAGAGGTAATGTAATAGGTGTCACGTATGGCACCTAACATATATTTTCCAATGCAAAGGCAGGGAATATTAAAACGTCGAGTAATTCGAGTGACAAAGGAATAGAGTGGAGGGAGAGGTAGAAAAGGGCGTTAGGGAAGCAGGGGGAGTGGACGAGAGGACGGAGGGTGGAGGACACGGAGGCGGATAAGGTTTTGGGGGAGAGGGGGGCGGGCACTATATCGCGGCTCACAGCAAGGCGCGGAGTCCTGGCGGCACACGGCAAGCAGCTTTTGTGCGAGACCTGCCTGTCAATCACGGCGCCCACGAGCAGCGCAGAGCAGAGCGTAGCGCGCGAGAAAAGAGCAAATTCATCCGTGGCGCCCACAACGACGAATAAAGCGAATAATGGGGGTGGGGGGGGGG